CGTGCATACCCGACCCCGACCCGACTTCCGGACCTCCACCCTCTTCACCTCCGGAGTCATACCCTACCGCTGCTGCTCCGATACTCACCTCGGACCGAACACCGCCCCTCTCGCCACCCTCCTACTACTCCTCCTCCTCCTACTCCGCTCCTCCTTCACAACACCTCCACCCTCCTGTCACCCTCCTACGCTTCCCCCGTCTGCTCCGATACTCACCTTCGGACCTGACAACTCTCCTTTCCACCACTCCTTCTCCCTTACCTTTCCCCTCTCTCCTCCCTCTGGTACTCCTCCACCACCCTCCCACCAAGTTACGACCTTCCACTGCTGTCCCATACTTCGTACTCAGACACCGCTCGTACCTTTGCTCCGAGCCTCCGTCATAGTCCCTACCTCGGACTTTGACTCCACCTCGGTCTTAGTCCATTGCATTGGTGACCTCATACTACGTAAACACCATTGCCAATATCCCTCGGACTTTCAACCCCGCCTCTGTAACCTCCGTAAGCTCCGCAACCCCCGAGCTTCGCGGATCGCCTTCAGCACTTTCGCTGCTTGTAATGTATCTCTCACGTTTTCCCCTCATCCCTATTTGGACTACTGCTTCTTCCCATTCTAGCCAGTTAGTCATCATCCCCACTTCTCCTCATCCTCCTGCCCCTCTGGGCCTCACCCTCCCTACCTCCTTTCGGATGTATCACAGGTCCTGCCTTATGACCTTCGGTACCGATCCGCTTCTTCTACCCTTTGTTCCCGTCTTCGTTCCGATTCGGTTTCCCTTTGTTTCCTTGTGCTTTTGCCCCCTCCATTATATATATTGGTGCTTGTACATATACGTTTTGGTTCAGTCCAAAATCGACCTGAAATGCCCCCTAGAGACTTCCTGCTCACCTACTGTGAAATTAAGGACCAAATGGACAAACAGCAATGGCACAGCACTCTGCTTGAGTCGCTGAGGCCAAGGTCCCTCCACGCTAAGTCTCTGATTCCACTCCGGAGTCGTCTGTATCCACCCGGTTCTAACAGCAGCCTTCTTCTCAACTTCCCACTTCAGGTAAGTACTGTAGCTTCCCCTTTTAATGATAATTCAACTTCCCACTTCAGACTAAGTGGTCGGGGACGCTCACCCCGCAACGGGACCGCCACTATGCATAGCTGACATCTGTCCCATCGAGTCCCTCATGCCGGGACCTTGCCGCTTTCGGAGCTGTCCCTGACAGATAGAAGTTAGCAAAGCCAAGGAAGGATTGGACATCCTTGACTTTACGGGGCTCGGGCCAATCTTGGATGGCTTTGACCTTCTCGATGGACATGGTGAGTCCGGAAGGAGAGAGGCAGTAACCAAGATATTCCGTAGTGTCCGTATGAAACTCACATTTCTTCGGATTGGCGTATAGGCCGTGTTTGCGGAGTCTCCTAAGAACTTCTCGGACATGCTCCTGATGTGAAGCCATGTCTTCCGAGTAGGTAAGGATGTCGTCTAGATAGACTACCACAGAAACGTCCAAGAGGTCGGCAAAGATCGTGTTGACGAATCGCTGGAAAGCCACAGGTGCATTTGTGAGACCGAATGGCATGACAAGCCACTCATAGGAACCATAGTGCGTGCAGAAGGAGGTCTTCCATTCATTGCCTGCTGCAATGCAAACCAGGTGGTAAGCATGCCGGAGGTCGAGTCTGGTGTAGACCGTGGCACGGCTAGGTGCGTCAAGGAGGTCGGAGATGCAGGGAAGTGGGTAGCGATCCTTTTTGGTGATCTTGTTCAGCCCTCGGAAGTTGACGCAAAGACGGAGGGATCCGTCCTTCTTGCGGACGAAGAGGACTGGTGCTGCGTGAGCGGAAGTAGTGGGGCGAATGAACCCGGAGGCCAGGTGTTCATCTAAGAATGCCCGGAGGGCCTCGAGTTCCGAAGTAGAGAGAGAGTACATGGTACCCCAGGGTGGGGAAGTGCCTTCCTCAAGGTCGATCTTTAGGTCGTGCTCACGGTGCGGTGCCAGCATCAAGGCTTTGCTCTTACTGAACACATCCGCGAACTCGTGATACTCCTTCGGAACGGCCGAGAGGTCGACAGAATCGGTGTGGGATGAGGCAGCCCTCAAGCGGCTTTCCTCGGAAGGGATGGTTAGGCTGAAGGATACCGATCCTTCAAGTTGGCAAGCCTTCGCGAATGCGGAATGGCTGACGAACTCGATAGATGGTAACGGAGGAGTGGCAGCCTGTGACTGAGGTGCTGGCGAAACATCAGATGGTTGGATGTCGGACGACGGCAGTGGTGCCGGAGATGATGGGGGAGAGCTCGGAGTAACTGTCTTGGTAGGTTCGGAAGTTCGGAACGTAATACTGCTTGAGACCCAGTCAATCAACGGATTGTAGTGGGTAAGCCAGTTGTGTCCTAGGACTAGGGAACATGATCCATCCAGCGATGTGACAAAGAAAGTCGTGGGGGTGATGTTTCCGGAAGCGAAGCGGAGGGGAATATCAACGGTGTGGGTTATGATTGAGTTGGTGCTACCGTCGAATAGGTGTAGTTGTAGGGGTTTAATCTGGTATGTCTTCAAGGCCAACTTTTTTACGAATGTGTCATCGATGAAGCAGTCCGAAGACCCAGAATCTATGAGTGCGGGTACATTCTCATAGGAGCGGAAAAGTTTATTTTGTGTCCTAACATTGGACAGAGGAGGAACAGGAGGAGAGAAAGAAGAGAAGCGGAGAGAGGTGGATCGATCTACAGAAGTAGTCGGAGGGGGCGGAGGAGAGAGTGGTACATCAGCAACACTATCTACAACGGGTAGAACATTACCCGAAGGGTCAACATTGAGAGGAGAAAATAGACCATTTGAAAGAGAAAAGGAAATGGGAATGTGGAGGGAGGATAAGTCGGAAATGGAAGATGCATTTAAACGCACTTCTTTGAGCGCACGGAAGGAAGGATCGCAACCCCCGGTCTGTGCGGAGTCCACAGGGGTGCGGACTAATTTTTTGCTTCTGCGGAAGTGGATCCTTGCTCCTCGGTCTGGGCCGAACGGGCCTTAGACGCGCGAGAAGAAGACTTGGGACAGTCCTTGACCATGTGGCCAGACTGACTGCAGAACATACAAAGTTTCTCGTCGAGATGACTCTTACACTCTTGTGGCGTGAGCTTGCCATTGTCTCCGAGTTTAGATGAGAGGTCCGGTTTAGTGGAGCTGGCCTCGGACTTTTTATTGTCCTTCGGAGGCCTACTACCGGAAGCTGAGTTGAAGGAGGAGGAGGAAGGGATGGGGTCGGAACGAGAAGCGGCGGTGGACTTGTCGAAAACATTAGAGGAAGAGGGTTTCGCGTGACGTGTAACTTCCGATTTACGCTCCCAATAGCATGCATCAAGAGTTTGGGACAAGGTGCGAAGTTCAGAAAGAGTAGAGGGTTTACCTACTCTGGCAATATCGTCTTTAATACATTCCGGCAATCCGTTATAGAAGAAACGACGAAGCGCAGCTTCTCCGTAACCGTGAAGTTGAGAGGCGTGTCGGTTGAACTCGACGACGTATTTATTGATGTGGTGCCCGTCCTTCATGTCCAGGGTCATCAGTTGACCCTCGGCGTCGCCCACAGGATCGTGAGGACCAAAGTTAGTTTGAAGTTCATTAACGAACTCTTGATAGTCATTCATCCATTGTGGACGAAGTGTAGAATTCTGGTCGAATAACAGATCCAGCTCGAACCAATCGAGGGCCATTCCCTTGAGGTAGGACTGCGCAAATATGACTTTAGCGCAGTCACTAGCAAAAGCGAGGGGACGGTCCTGGAAATTGAGCTCGCATTGGACCAAGAATACTCGGAGTTCTTGGGGATCCTTTCCATCGAACTGTTCGGGTTTGCGGACCTTGGTCCGGAGAGCAGAAGATGGTCGTCATCGTCGTCATCCGGTGTGATGAGCCAGACTGGCAATGGCTTGGGCCAATTGCGCAATAGCCACGTTGGAGGTGGGTTCGGCATCGTTGGTGGTTGGGACAGTGGGGATGGGAGGATCAGCAGGAGGAGGATCAACGAAGTCAGGGACCTCGGAACCGAGTCCAAAGAAGTGGACGGGGTCTATGGGTTGTTCCATGGTGTCTCCGAAGTCGGAATCTGCAACTGGTGATCGATTCCTAATGGGGCGCATGATCGGAGTTGATGGGAGAGGGGTTTCAAGGTTAGAAAAGCTTCGAAACTCAACTGGGTTTCTCGCCAATCGACTAGGACCAGGCTGAGAGGGTTCTGGGGAAGGTGAGGCAGAGTTGGGAACTAATGTGCATAGTTGCGAACGAGTGCGAAGGGCTTTTGGTGCCATACAAGACATGTACTAGTCAGGGAGTAATAAAATACTGTCAGAGACCAGGTTCGAGACGAAGGAAAGTCTCCGTGGCGGAGGGCTTCGGCCTCAGTGACTTATGCCAAGAGCACTGTGCCTAGTGACACATCCATGCCCTAACTTACTAACTGGCAATCAGAACTGAAGGGGGGTAACTCTAGTTGATTTTATTACTGGAGTGTAACCTATGTACAAGTTGGATATATATATGGTTACAGCACAGATGGGTCCACAAATGACAGAGCCGAACAGAGCGGAGCTAATGGGGTTAAACATTAGCCGACTGAATATTACCGACGAGTTGGGTCGTGGGGTTAGCAGAAAGGCAGGCGATAACCCAGAAACGGAAAGGAGGGATAGGCCCGAAGGTGGACTCTGCAGGGCAGGCGAGTGTATTGCCCAGCGGAGGCGGGAGTGCACTAGTGGACATCAGAGCTGTCCGGAAGTCTTCGGGGCTCCGTACTTAGGGAGGTGTAGGTAATAAATTGAAAGGAGGGGGTGGTGACCATCGAGGGGTACCAAGAGGATTGCGGAATACGGGAGCTCCGAGGTTAGTGAGGAAGGAGCAGAGGTAGACCGGAGGGATTGGAGGGACCGGAAGTCGATGGCCGGGGATGGATATGACATGATCTATAAATTATCAAAACCTAAGAAGACGTGCAAGCCCACAATGCCCAATGCATGGGCCCATGCACAGGCAGAGGCAGAACGTTTGAAAGGTAAGGAATTAACTTACATGAGCAAGAGGGGTGTGTGCTTACAGAGTACTCTAGAAGGGGCATTGCCTAACCTGCCTTACAAGGAGGAGTACCTGAAAGTACTTGAGGACATCAATGGGGGGAAACTTGCATACGAGGATGTTCAAAAACCCATGACATCAGAGGAAGAGTACACTTCCCAGGTTATTCTGGATGGCATTATGGTTAAAAGGCACAATCGCTTGTTGAAAGAGATTGTCAGGGGACGGACCCCGGGTCCCCATGACCCCTCTCCACAGTCCACAGTCTGGCCTGTAAACACAGCCCATCTCAGGGCATAGCTACTGTGGGTAAGAAAGTGAGAAGAAGGTTAACTTCTCACTTTCCCACAGTGGCCCAATATGGCGAAAACTTCCGGGGATACCCGGAAGTCACATGAGGTGGGATCCGGGGTCGGATCATGCGGTGTGCGGAGCATGCAGCGCAGGAAGTGCACGGGAAGTGGAGCGGGTCTGGATACGGGTCCGGGTCCGGGCTAAGTCAGGGTATGTGCCCTGACAGAGATGATAATCTCACCAGAGTTATCCATGAACTCTATTGCAATCCATGCACAGGACCAACTACTGAGCATAGTACGTTTCTGGCATCTAAAAGCGAGCAAGGATTTAGTACTCAAATGCACCAGGCCAAATCAGTCCACCAGTCATGCGGCATTGAGGTGCTCGTGTTGATGAGGCCACTCAGAGGACTTATTTGCGCCAGTCGTCTGGGGAACTGTGAGGTCTCAGGGTAGCTCAGCACACAGAGCCATAAGTGATACAAGGGTGTGTATTTTATGGTAGTGTGTAAGCAGTTACCCGGAGGTTCCCGCTTACCCACATGACTATATGTATCTTAATTACATGTGGCTCGGGGTTCAGGGCTATTGCCCTGACAGGAACAGATAAGGCCAAAGCCTTCTGGGCAGCTGTAGCACATGTGGATATTGTCATATCCATACAATCCCAACCTCCACTCTGGGCTCCCAGAACTCCAAAACTGACTCCAGAGCCCTACTTCCCTTCCATCACCTCCTCCTTGCCGACTCCCAAGAGGTTATCCCACCTCCGGCTCTGACACCACCTTTGGTCCGACTCCGGAACATTCCGGGTCCGACCTCAACCTTGACACCTTCCAGATGAGCATGCAACACCTATGCTCCCAACTCCGGACCTCTGCTCCGGAATCTCGTTTGTGTCTCCATCTCCGGAACCTCCGGTCTTAGCTCTGACCTTGGACTTTGACCCCACCTCCGCTTATACCCATTGTATTGGTTAGCTCATTCCATTTAATTACGTTTGCCAATATTCCGGAGTTTAACTTCCGAGTTTGGACTTTCCAGACTTACCTTGGACCTTGCAACTATTGCATTGTCCTATTCAATTCTGCTATTCTCCCTCATTCCTATTTGGGCTGCTGCTTCCTTTCTATTCAGTCAGCTGGCCATTCCCCACTCCCATCCTCCTTCCTTCCTCCTTGGGCCTTGGCCCTTCACTCCTCCTTTGGGAAACACCATTGAGTCAAACCCTTGACCCTCAGTGTTGTTCCTCCTTCCAGCCCCCTTTGTCTGCTTTCGGAGTACCCTTGCTCCTTTTGATTCTGGACCCCTCCTTATATACAATGTACATAGTAACTTGTAACCTCAGTCCGAAATCGACCTGAAATGCCCCCAAGAGACTTTCCCTCTGCTAGATCCGAAATTAGGGACCCCCAGGACAACCAGCAATGGCACAGCGCTCTGCCTGAGTCGCTGAGGCCGAGGTCCTTCCATGCTAAGTCTCCAATTCCACTCCAGAGTTGTCCGAATCCACCCCTTCTAACAGATATGGGAGTACCGATTCGCCTCATGGAGGCCCATGTAGTTGGTAAATTAGAAAGTATGTGGTTGAAATCAATGCATGACTACTTACTGATATGAGGCATGAGCTATGGTCCAGGGATATAATGCAACAGCCGCAGCCATGCATGAAGAAATAGCCAAGGTAACTAGGATAAGTCTCCGTGAGTGGCATCATCCAAGCTTTCCGGCACACACTAACTAAATACACAGGTGAACTGAGTGGGAGGTCTAGGTTATCGATGGAATGGCAGCCAAGGAATTATTTGAAACTTACAATCAAACATTGTATTGCAATTGACATGACGAATTACCCAGGTGGCAAACTGATCAAACCGAAGCTTGCATGCACCAACCACATGCATGAGGTACTCAAAGGATGGAAGGATGGCCAGATTAAGTGGGTCGAATTGACAGAAGATCAAGTTGAAAAGAGGCGTGAAGAGCTAGCTGCACTCACCACGATAGTCAACCCCAATGAGACTGCCCACTCTATGTGAGACTCCCAAATGCACGAAATGACACACTAAAAAGCGAGGTTTCCTTGACATTCAGTGCAACAGATGGTGAGGACAAGGAGAATAACATTGGGTCAGCGAATATCCCTTCAGGGTCAGCGCATTTCATTGCCAGCAGAGAACATTGCCAAGAGCGGACTAACACCATCTGTCACTCCCTGCGCACCTTAGATCTGTGGCCCTGGCTGTCACCCCATCACCCCTCCAACCTAACGCCACTCAGGCCCCAATAGTGACAAGTGGAGAGGCAGCGACTGCTATGTAAGCTCTCACCTTTGCTGGCTAGCCTATTACTGATCGAACAACACCAGCCAAGGTCGCAAACGTAAAGCACCGCAAAATTCAAACCCCTGAAAGAAGAAACAGCCAGCATCTGCTGTTGCATGCTAGAGAGGACGGAAATTGGTGAGGGATGAAGTTTTCCCAACATGTGTCAAACATTGGTGGCTTGGACACATTTGTACCTATGTGTTGGTTGGCCTGCAACAGAAAAAGCAGTCACATGTGTAATTCCCCATCGATTTCAAGAATATTAACATCACCGATGTGAGCTGCATTGCAACATTAATGTCGGAGCGGCAATGGTATGATGGTGGAGGCTGAGGATGCGATGAGTTTGAGTTATTTACATTGGAGTATAACTATAACTTATAGTATAAGAGTACAAAAGAAAGAGAGGAATGTGCTTAACGACTACCAGTGGGGCTTGGGGAGGACAAGATCAGAGGAACTATCTATGATGGCAATAACAAGAACGACTAGTGCTAAGATTGATGTGTAAGAAAAGCAAGTAGAAAAAAGAACGAAAAAAATGAGCAAAAGTGAATGAGAACGACTTTGGCGATGTTGCCAATGGCAACAGCGATGATGGAGCATCAGAAGTCGATGCCAGTAATACATTTGATAAAGTCACCAAAGAAGTGCAGCCATTTACTATTGCAATTGAAAAAATGAGTCATGGGCACCTGAGAGCTTTCGGGCCCTCCCTGGTAGAACTGGGCAAGGGCGGACGATTCCAGAGGGGAACCAGAGACTTAGCAAGGAGGGACCTTGGCCTCAGCAACTCAAGTGGAGCGCTGTGCCATTGCTGTTTGTCCATTTGGTCCTTAATTTCACAGTAGGCGAGCAGGAAGTCTCTGGGGGGCATTTCAGGTCGATTTTAGACTAAGGGCTAAAATAAGTATGTACAAGTGCCGATATGTATGATGGGGGGGGCGAAAGCACAAGGAAACAAAGGGGATCCGAATTGGAATGAAGGCATCCGAATGGGAACAAAGGGATGACAGAAGTGGAGCGGTACCGAAGGTCATAAGGCAGAACCTGTGATACGTCCGAAAGGAGGTAAGGAGGGCGAGGCCCAGAGGGGCAGGAGGATGAGGAGGATGACTAACTGGCTAGAATGGGAAGAAGCAGCAGTCCAAATAGGGATGAGGGGAAAACGCAAGAGATACATTACAAGTGGCAAAAGTGCCAAAGATGATCCATGAAGCTTGGAGGTTGCAGAGCTTACAGAGGTTACGGAGGCAGGGTTGAAAGTCCGAGGAATATTGGAAAGGTACAAGCGGTGTCCGAGTACGAAGTACGGGACAGTGGCAGAAGGTCGTAACTTGGCAGGGGGTCGACAGAAGAGGGCCAGATGGAAGAGAGAGGAGAGAGAGGGAAGAGGGAAGGCATGGTGGAAGGGTGTCAGGGACTTGTCCGGGGTCGAGGGGGTCCGGGTATAGCGTCCGGGACCGAGAGCCTGGCGGGGGGCGGATCGGGCGTGCGTACTGACAGGCCCGATATGGGACAGTAGTCCCTGGCCACTTAGACTGAAGTGGAAAGTTGAGAAGAAGGCTACTTCTTCGGTTCCCACTTCAGGTTCGTTTATATACATGCAGCTTGGATCACATGACGGATGCCACGTCACCCTCGCACACAGCCGTAACCACCCGGGTGTCTCCGTGGGAGATACCAAGGGTATCCGGTGCAGGCGCACGTGCTGGGCACAGCGGGAAGTCGCCCGAGGTGCCCGGGCCGGGTGCATGGTGGGCACGCTGCAGATGGGTCAGTTGTACATTGATACAGAGAAAGTCGTCCATGTAGAATAAAGGGAGAATAAAGGAGAAGTAAGATAAGGAGAAACTGAGGAGGGGAGGATGAGGGGGGAAGAAGGGAAAGGGGGAGGAGGTAAGGAAGGGTGGACCGGCGGGGTACTGGGTCAGGTTGGGCCGGGTGGAGCCGGGTCAGGCGGGTGTGCCCTGACAAAGGGAGAGTTGTCAGGTCCAACGGTGAGTATCAGAGTGGATGGGAGAAGCGTAGGAGGATGACGGAAGGGTGGAGGTGTTGTGAGGAAGGAGCGGAGGAGTAGGAGGAGGAGTAGTAGGAGGGTGGTGAGAGGGGTGGTGTTCGGTCCAAGGTGAGTATCGGAGCGGATGGAGATAGGGGAGGAGAGGGATGGAGGTGTGGAGGTGGCATGGGAGGTGGGAGGAGGTGTGGTGCCAGGACTGAAGGTGAATATCAGAACAGACAGCGGTAGGGTAGGACTCTGGAGGTGGTGAAGAAGGAGGTCCGGAAGTTGGGTTGGGATTGGGTATGCATGGATATGACACTCCTGTAAAATTTCCTCAGTGCAGACAGTGCATCGGTGCAGCTACTCAGATGCTGAAATACTATCTAAGATGGTAGGTTGGCTGATAGCCCCTGGTTACCTACTTATATTGATTGGGTCATGAGTACTAGGTGTTGTATATAAGGAGGGGTCCGGAATCAAAAGGAGCAAGGGTACTCCGAAAGCAGACAAAGGGAGCTGGAAGGAGGAACAACACTGAGGGTCAAGGGTTTGACTCAATGGTGTTTCCCAAAGGAGGAGTGAAGGGCCAAGGCCCAAGGAGGAAGGAAGGAGGATGGGAGTGGGGAATGGCCAGCTGACTGAATAGAAAGGAAGCAGCAGCCCAAATAGGAATGAGGGAGAATAGCGGAATTGAATGGAGCAATGCAATAGTTGCAAGGTCCAAAGTAAGTCCGGAAAGTCCGAACTCGGAAGTTACACTCCGGAATATTGGCAAACATAATTAAATGGAATGAGCTAACCAATACAATGGGTATAAGTGGAGGTGGGGTCAAAGTCCAAGGTCGGAGCTAAGACCGGAGGTTCCGGAGATGGAGACGTGAACAGGATTCTGGAGCGGAGGTCCGGAGCCGGGGGCATAGGTGTTGCATGCTCATCTGGAAGGTGTCGAGGTTGAGGTCGGACCCGGAGTGTTCTGGAGTCGGACCGAAGGTGGTGTCAGAGCCGGAGGTGGGATAACCTCTTGGGAGTCGGCAAGGAGAAGGTGATGGAAGGGAAGTAGGGCTCCAGAGTCAGTTTTGGAGTTCTGGGAGCCCGGAGTGGAGGTCAGGATTGTGTTAGAATGTGCGGATTCGGACGACTCCGGAGTGGAATCGGAGACTTAGCATGGAAGGACCTCGGCCTCAGCGACTCAGGCAGAGCGCTGTTGTTACAGGAATGGGTTCCAGGGAACCCAACCTGAGCCGTTCGGCTCACTAATGGAGGTGGCTGCGTAGCCATCGGAGGGAGAGCGGAATAGGATGAGTGTATGGAAGTACAACCTGTGTGTCGGCCAACGGTAACTTGGCGCTCCTGGGAGCGTACCGGTAGCGAGTATGATGTGGGCTCCTTGAGAGAGCCACCTGACTGTCTGCTAATGGGGACTTGGCGCTCCTGGGAGCGTGCCGGTAGCGGGTGTGCTGGGAGTGTTTGGCTAGCGGTGACTTGGCACTCAATGGAGCGTACCAGTAGTGAGGGATACTGGGACTCCCAAAGGGAGTCACCCAGTTGGTGGCTATCGGTGACTTGGCGCTCATGGGAGCGTACCGGTAGCAGGAGTTGTTGGGAAAAGCGGGCTGGTGGACCAGTGCACGGTAGTGGGTGACCATGGGAAGTGGGACCCATGGGTGCGTGGCCAGGCATCCTGGAGCTGCCTGGACCGTATCCTTCTCCTGAGGAGGTGGGATAGGCTGCAGTTCCTGATAGGGAACTTCTGGTTGGATGGGAGTAACTGTTGGAGGAACAACCTCGAAGCATGTATTTACTATTGTTTAGTGGTAATACCTTCCTAATTAAGAGTCCACCATATTCTCGTCCAGCCGCCCTCAACTTGGTTCTCTCTATAGGTTATGAGCCCAGGCGGCTCGCCTGGACAAGCTTAGGTATCAAGGAAGTCCGCCTGACTCTCGCGGCAGTTGGTCAAAGTGCAGTTGACCACCTTCATAAGTCCTCAGCGGAGGCAGGGGCAATCCCCCGTATCTTAAGTCCCATGCGGCATTTGTTAAGTCCTGTACACCAGGCATCCTTTTAAGTCCTACACGGCATTGTTTTGGGGCACTAAAGTCCAGCCCAGCGCCCACTGTTAAGGCCGGTGCGCGGCATCCTTCAAGTTTGTCTTTGGGCACGGAAGTCCAGCCTGGCGCCCACTATTAAGGCCAGTGTGTGGCAATTATTCAAGTTTTGTGTTGGGCCCGCAAGTCCAGTCTGGCGCCCATCTTTAAGGTCGGACTTGGCACCCCTTCGAAGTCCTGGAAGGCAGTAATTGGCACCCCCCCCTTCTCTCCTTGCTCTAAGTCCTCAGACAGGCATGCAACACTCTTATTTCCCTTCCCTTCCTTGCCACGTCACCATTTTTTCATTTTCCCACGGTCCAATCGCGCGCGCTCAAAGGCAGCAACCCAATCCCACCTTGCACCTGGCACCAGCAGGCCATTGGGGCCACTCCCTTACTGCCTTACCATGGAACACTGTGGATTCAGAGGGTGATCCCCCCCTTTCAAATATCGTATTAATTCTCATGCACACTTTGGACAAGTTGGACACCCGGGATTGCTGAGAAGGCTCACCCCACCGACTGCCTGGCATGGCATCCACTCAGATTTGGAAGACAACCAATCACCATTGATTATTGGACTAGCACCCTTGATCATGCATCCATTGGATTTCACCTTTCCACATTCCCTTCACCACTCCATTCCCATTCAATTTTATTCCATTCTTTTTCAGTCAATTTCTTCACACCGGTTTCATTATATCATGGATTCATGTTAGATGGTTACATGTTCTTTCGTTTGAGAGGGTGTGTTGGAGGAACAACCTCGAAGCATGTATTTACTATTGTTTAGTGGTAATACCTTCCTAATTAAGAGTCCACCATATTCTCGTCCAGCCGCCCTCAACTTGGTTCTCTCTATAGTAACCACTCAACCACCCGGTGGACTGGTGGGAGTGGGCAGTAGGAGGTTGGGCATGGGAATGCCCTCCTTGCTGCGGTTTTGTCATGGAGAGGAGGAATAGGGAGGTGGACATGGTTCCAGGGTTACAGGTTGAGTTTACAGTGGTGACACAATGGTGAGGATGTTACAATTGCGGTACAAGGTTTGTGGGTTATGTATTTGATAATCAGAAAACATCTCGGCAATTACCATACATGTCATATGACTTGTATCTATCTAATACAAATGTTATAATGGCCAAAGGAAGTCCTTTGGAAATCAACAAATCCCCCAGCCAGCACCAAAACCCAGTGGGAAAGCTTGGCATGGGGTTTGGCAGAGAATGAAGTGAGAAGAAGTAAGAAATATCTTACCTGTGTGCCTGGTCTATAGGAGTCTAGGCCCATTTCCATAGCAAAGGGCCTCAAGGTCTGCCTGTCATGGACCATAAGATTCTCCATTTCCATAACAGCTGTGCCATTGCTGGTTGTCCTGGGGGTCCCTAATTTCGGATCTAGCAGAGGGAAAGTCTCTTGG